CGCTGCAAGAGCCACTCCGTTTTGAGAGGCTCGTCCCTTAATCGAGACGAAATCGCGCCAATCCTCCAAAGGAACGCCATCGAACGAGGGCCAATAACCCCATAAGTCTTCACTGCCACTCCACTCCACTGCCACAGGATTAAAAAAAGAAATCTATCAGCAAGAGAAAAATCATCTTAGTTATTATTCTGTAATAATCTATAAACAAATTGATAGAAGTTAATATTTAGTTATGTGACAGAAACAAGCTTATAAACGTTACTATTTGGTGAGAAGGTGATAAAAAAGTTTATTGAAGTTGTTCTTTGTTGCTAAGATAGAAAAAAAAACTGAGAGAAATTGTGGTTTGTCAATAAGGTAAAACAAGTATATGGAACACTATTAACATTATTTGGACTATTGTCCTCATCTTTGTCGCCATATTTATTACAACGTTTCGGCCGTTGTACGCTTCGGCCATCTTTAGGTGGTTGAAATATCGACACATGGCACAGTGGATAAAGGCGTTGGTTAGATCCAGTGACAGGACCCAAAGAGTGTGAGTTCAATACCCGGTTAAGGCAGTGGAGAACTTTCAGGAAATTAACAGGAGGTAACTGATAACTGACATCCATTAAACATGGCACGTGGAACTAGAACAGTCTACCCAGTGAGCGAAATAAAGGGTTCAGTTCGACATTCCAACCACCTGAAGAAGGCCGGAGCGTAAAACGGCCGAAACGATGTAATATGGCTACAAAGATGAGGGCAATAGTCCGAATAATATAAATAGTGTACATAATACATCATCTCAGAAATATAGACAGATACTGAAGTTTATGGAAGTTATTAAATGACTTTATAAAAGTTTTTGTTCATTGACAAGGAAATACTAAGTTTGTAGATCTCTTGTTCGGTGATACAAGTTTACATAAACTGAAAAAGATGATTTAAATGGTTTATAAACGTTTTGATCTAATTATAATCGGATTCATCTTAAGTTATTATCAATAATCGGCTACGTTGAAACACCGATTCTCAGTAATGTCGAGCTTAGATGAGCGGCCGCTTGGGAAAACCACGTGATGTATTAAATGTGTGGGTGGTGTAATGGATAACGGCTCAGAATTGGAAATCGGAGAGAACAGTTTCAATTCCAGATGAGTTCATTATATTCACTTACGCGCAGATACCCTTGGAAAAGATATGCACCCCAGATATGGGTTAATTAGTAAGACTTGCATCACTAAATCATTATTAGCTCTAAAAGTCCCTGCAATCTAAAAATATTGTCTGGCTTTAAATAACCTGCAAATGGATGATAAGCTGTCAAAAACAAATGCATTTTTCTTGGTGCAATTCGTGCATATACCGATGAACGCATTCCAAACAAACTACAGCTGCTAATATAAGACAAATATATGTAAATGATATAGTATTTTTGTATCTTTCCTTTGACTAATAATAGTTTCGATTATGTTCAGTTTTCTTTATAGCCAGAATTTATTTAAAATTGTTTCGCGTCAGAAGACGATATCTTATCGTGTGTATCAAATATTTATAATACATATAGAATATTTAATCTATTCGTTTACCGGAGCTGTCAAACTCAGAGATGCCGTTGCCTATATGAGGCCCCCTTATAAAGCACATTTTATTTATCGACTTAAATCTGAAATAATAAGTTCCAAACATGCAAGGATGTGGCTAACAAAACTTTTGTTTACAATCAGTCAGTTATTTGCCTTGCGTGACACACGCTTAGGCGATCATGTAACTTTCGATACATGACTGACGAGGCAGATTTTTTCCCGCAGTAGGTTGCCATTTCTTTCTGCGGTAGACCAGTTGCCATCCAAGGCTATAGAACCCGGTCTGCCCTACTATTTACCCATAGCTGGGGGGAGAAGAAGAGAATTCATACCTTTCCCAAGTGTCAGTCAGTCAGTTATGTGCCATGCTTGATATACATTTAGGTGATCATGTATCTTTCGATACGTGACTGACGTGGCTGGGTTTTTCCCGCAGTAGGTTGCCATTTTTTTCTGAGGTAGACCAGTTGCCATCCAAAGCTATAGAACCCGGTCTGTCCTGCTATTTACCCATAGCTGGTGGGAAATGATTCATACCTTTCCCAAGGGTATTAGCACTTAAGTGAATGTAATATTTAGTCTTTTATAATGACCGAGGCTGTCGAAAATACTAGAACAAAAGACATGACATCTTCATCTCTTGAGACTATCTTGCTTATGTGCATCTGTGTTGTGCATCTGTAGACATTATTGTGCAGCAATCATTCTCTGCTCAGTTTATCTGCATTCCGAAAAACCACTTTGCATATACTTTTCAGTAACTAGGATACCTAATTAAACTGCATGTACCATCGAGACTCAACTGAATACTTTGACAGTGTGACAATAGTAAACTCTCTGTCAACTGTAATATGAAAATCAGCCTGTTTGGTTTTATCCTCATCCACAAAAGTAGCCGGCCTGTCAGTGAGTCCCCTTTTTCATAACATCCATTTCTCATTTCTCTCTATGATTGTCACTAACTCTATTGATTCATTTACTTACCTTACTTATATCAAGTGTAGCCTTTTACACACGAGTGAATCTTTGCAGTAATTTTCTCTTTCCAAAAACAGAAATTCTATGACACCTATTTGCTTTCTACATGTAGTGAGAGTGGTAAACATTTTAAAAGGAGATCGTGCATATGAAAAGAGAACGTATCTCCCAGAATTTTTCTTCTCAGCTTCTAGGCACTTTATAGCTAAAACCAAATCTAGGAATTCAAATATTAAAATTAATTAGAACAGGCATTACTTTTTGACCGACCCTCGCAAAGTAGATTCGTACAGCAACAGAATAGGCACATAAACTATTATAGAAAAATACAGAGAGAAACAGACCGTATTTGTTATTATACGCATAAGTTCTGACATCGTGAGTTCAATCCTTGCTTGGTAATACCTAAAATTTCCTATATACTCGGAAGAGATAATCGATATCCCAAAGACGTATTGACGGAATTTAGTTCTTCGAGTTAGCTCTTCTAGGTTTAACAAAGGAATAAGAACAATCGGACCGTTGGATTAAATAAAGGGTTCTGTTCACAATTCTCAGATCATCACGAACGACAGATACCTGAAGTAAGTCGGAGGATAAAAATTTTGAAACATGGGGACGATATCAAGCAAATTAGAGACACTAGTCCAACAAAATCGATTCTCAATAAGGCTAAGTCCTCTTCTCAAAACTTCAGACAGTAAAATAAACAATATTTACAATCGTTAAACAGTTCCCAATTGGTAAAGCTACACCGGCTGTGTTTGGCATTCGTTGAATCTATTTGACTAAGTAAAGGTTTTTCTATAATCTGAAGCCAATTAATAGCGTCTTTGTTAAAACGTACCGTTTGTATTGTTTGCCTAACTTGTACATGACTTTACGAATGTTTGCTAAAAAGATTTTTTTATATAAAATAGCATAATAAAAAAGTAGAATGTCTGTGGAATATGTTTAGTCTTCATTGTTTGATTTGTACCGAAATGTAAATACAAACCAAAAAACAAATTTACCATTTCTTCTTCTTTATCTTTTATTCCAGAAAACGCGACTCGGTTTTGCTATGCAAACGGAACTTGGGCTTCGAAATCCAATTACATTGGTTGTCTTTCAGATGAAAAAGTAAGTGAAAATATTTCTCTTGAAAATATCTTACTGGATTTATTCCTGTTATGAAATAGTAATTTCTAATTGAGGAGATCGGATTTCGAGATGAATTCATCATTGTCTCTAATTGTGTCATGAGGTATTTTTGTGATTAAATATCTTTTCTGAACTAGGATTCTCTTCTCTCTCTCTCTCTCTCTCTCTCTCTCTCTCTCTCTCTCGCTTACTGTTGCTCTCTCTCTCCAAATCTATCTCTCACTCTCTCTCGCTTAATCTTGCTCTCTCTCCAAATCTATCTCTCTAACACTCTCATTCTCTAACACTCTCGCTCTCTAACTCTCTATCTCTCGTTTAATATTTCTCTCTCTCTCTCTCTAACACTCAGTTAGTACTGCTCTCTCTCTGTCTCTCTCTCTCTCGCTTACTGTTGCTCTCTCTCTCTCTCTCCAAATCTATCTCTCACTCTAACTTTCTTGCTCTCTAACCTTCTATCTCTCGTTTAGTATTTCCCTCTCTCTCTCTCTCTCTAACACGCGATTAGTATTGCTCTCTCTGTCGCCCACTCTCTCTCTCTCGCTTACTGTTGCTCTCTCTCCAAATCTATCTCTCACTCTCTTTCGCTCTCTAACACACTCGCTTCTAACTCTCTATCTCTCGTTTAGTATTTCTCTCTCTCTCTCTCTCTCTCTCTCTCTAACACTCAATTAGTACTGCTCTCTCTGTCTCTCACTCTCTCTCGCTTTCGCTTACTGTTGCTCTCTCTCTCCAAATTTATCTCTCACTCTAACTCTCTTACTCTCTAACCTTCTATCTCTCGTTTAGTATTTCTCTCTCTCTCTCTAAGACACGATTAGTATTGCGCTCTCTGTCTCTCACTCTCTCTCTCTCTTTCGCTTACTGTTGCTCTCTCTCTCTCTCTCCAAATCTATGTCTCACTCTAACTCTCTCGCTCTGTAACTCTATCTCTCATTTAGTATTTCTCGCTCTCTCCTTCTCTCTCTCTCTCTAAGACACGATTAGTGTTGCTCTCTCTCTCTCTCTCTAAGACACTATTAGTATTGCTCTCTCTCCCTCACTCTCTCTCTCTTTCGCTTACTGTTGCTCTCTCTTTCTCTCTCCAAATCTATGTCTCACTCTAACTCTCTCGCTCTGTAACTCTCTATCTCTCGTTTAGTATTTCTCGCTCTCTCCCTCTCTCTCTCTCTCTAACACCCGATTAGTACTGCTCTCTCTCTCTCTCTCTCTCTCTCTCTCTCTCTCTCTCTCTCTCTCTCTCTAATCTGATCATGGAGAAAATTTGGAAAAGTTGACGGGAAAAGACTATCAAGATCTGAGAAAGTAAAACTAATACGAAAAAAGATTAAAAAAGAAAGAGGAGCAAAATAAGAAAATAGAAATAAAGTTAAAAAAGGAAAAGAAAAACGGGAAAAAAAATAAAGGAAAAGAAATAGAAAGAAAGAAAAAAGCAAAAAGAAAGTTAAAAAAAAAAGCATTTTCATATAAAACAAAGACGCCTAGACGAAACAAAATAAAAGAATTAAAAGGTAGCATTTTAAACTCATTTCATGTTATAGATTTCATTTGAACTTAGACGACAACAGTCATAGTTCACTTTAAAAAATGACAACAGACACATTATGTCAGTCGAATTTAACAAAACCTATTTAAATGATTTTTCCCACTTAATATAATTTCCCGTATATATATATATATATATATATATATATATATATATATATATATATATATATTCAAACATGTTTGGTTAAATAATTTAAACATATCATGTCGATTAGTTTTCCTTGTGATCCTTTCAAGATTGTATTTCTTATAAAAAATGTCAATACATACGTTGTCTTTACTATGACGATGTTAACAAAAAGGCCTACATTTCATATGGATGAGCATAGTTCAATAACTCAGCATTTAAAGGAACTCATACCCACAGTCACCGATTAGACGGATATGAGTTGAAAATACATCTATATGACATAAAACAATAATAAGCAAAAACTAAAAATCTATGAAGCCCTTTATATTAGACAATTAAAGCCCAAAATCTAGAACACTGCATAAGCAGCTAAAATCGAACAGTTGAAATGTTTTGAATTTACAAAAACACATATACATATTCACAACTCCCTCAAGATGGTCTCAGATGAGATTGAAAGTACTTGAGAAAATAAAAAATATTCGAAAGAAAATGTTGGTATTTTTCTTAATCAATTTTCTAAGGCTACCAAGAAATTAATCAGTGAACTTGAAAGGATCACAACGAAAACTAAGCGACATATGTCTAAATTATTTAAGTAAACCTGTTTGAATATATATATATATATATATATATATATATATATATGTGTGTGTGTGTGTGTGTGTGTGTGTGTGTGTGTGTGTGTGTGTGTGTGTGTATATATATATATATATATATATATATATAGAATAACACATACCAATCCATCCAAATCGTCGACTTGAAATGTAAAACTAAAATATCTGCCAATAAAAGTTGTCTTGTTATATCAGGACCGATAAGCTTGCCGATACTTCTTTGGTTTTGTCAAGAATATCTAGATCTAAACCAAAAGAACCGCATCAGATATGGCAGAAATATTCCATGCACGGACGAATGGTAGACTTATGGTAGATTTTTAAACGTACAAGATGCATTCTGACGAGAAAAATTCTCTTACACGACATAGTGAGGCTTTCGTAGCATCAAGTTTAACAACTGATTTTAATTCATGTCAGTCGAAAAGGTGAGCTGTTGTGCTGGAGGTTAGCATCAGTCTTGCTGATGGAAAGCTAAAAAACGATTATAGACGATTAATGGATATCAGGTTCGTTTTAGTCATGAACATTAACAAAGTACTTCCCACCCTAGTTAACAAAATATTGTGGGTCAAAAAGAAAGAAGCAAAATTTCAAAATTTAGTAACGATGATCTTTCAAAAATAGTGTGAAAAGTTCAAATAGAGAGAATTCAATTTTTTTCTCGAAATCCGTCAACCTTTATCAAGTACTTTGCGTGCTTTATCCGAACTCTATTTTACGTATTACATATTTATATTTAATAAGTGCTTTTAGGACACTAAAAGACAATATTATTTACATTAACTCAACAAGTTGGTTTTTGGGGGGTTTTTACCACAAGAGTAGTCAGGAATTGAACTCACAACAACTTTGGAGTGAGTCACTGGATCCAACCAACGCTTTTATCCACTGAGGCATGTGTTCTCAAAGGCAATACCTGGCTACTGTAGTGGTGAACATAAAAAGGGAGATAACTAAGACATCCAGAAGAGTGATGGCACGTGGAACTAGAACAATCTACTCCGCTTGGCACAAATTGACCTTGAACATTGTCACGCATGAACACAAAGTTATAAAGTTCTCAATCACTTTCCTTGTTTATAGAAGTGCTTGAAAGGAAAGTGTGTAGAGTGTGTCGTCTCACCGCACGACAGAGGCTCCATCAGTTACCACAGATTTTGCAGTGATCTTTGGTAAAGCACAACATTCTGTGACCTGAAAACTCTGATATTCCTCTGATCTCGCCTGTGCAATTGTTTTCTCTTCAAAAATCAAATCCCACTTGAATGAACGAGATTTCAAGACATCTCGCTATCCCCTAGAAAAGGACTTTCAGAAATGCTTTCAATTGAAATTACGCTGGATAAAGTATTTAGTTTTCAGAAGAGGACGACTTCGACGAATATTAAACGCCGAACGTGCTGTAGGTTTGTAGCACCAGTCCCAATATTTTTGATCAGACCACGTACATATTTACTAATTATCTGAGAATGTTCCCGGGAAGATTGTTGTCAGTGTATTATTGTGCGTTGCGTTCACAAGATATTTTCTTCCTTTAGATATTGAAGAGTGTCAATATAAAACAAAATGGTTGAACAAAGATGAATAATTGTTTCCAGGGGCTGAAAATGAGTGCCGAATCCCAGAACTGAAGACAAAGGGCAAGAACAACTAAAAAAAAGGAAAAAGAAAAGAGACAAAGAGAAAAAGATAAAACAGAAGGGAAAAGGGGCAGGAAAAGAAAACATCTCAAAGCTATCGTAGAAAAGTAAAAGTTGAATAAAAGTCAGAAAAAATATTTCATGTAAAGGAAAGAAATTTGGGTAAGGAATGAATGTGGTTAAGAATGTCGCGTAGAAGAGAAAAAATGATATAAGAAAAAAAATAAAGAGTAAAGAAAAGCAAGAATTTTCAAAGAAAGAAATGAACAATTAAATGTAACAGCCTCTTCTACTCCAACAGCTTCTTGTCTCTTATTTCTCCTCATTTGAACTCCCTTCCTCTTACTTGCTTTCCTGATAATTATATTCTTCAACAATTCAAATGTAATGTCAATCGACAGCTTCTGATGCCTTGATCTATTCTTTGTCCTTCTCTTTTTACTTTCCTCAAACACTTCTCTTTACTCTTATTTTCAATCTCTGCAACCCCTTCTGTGCTTTTGGAAACCCTGTCTTGTTTGGGGTGATATGCTTAAAAAATGTTTGAAAGAAAGAAAGAAAGAATCACGCAGTGAAAGAAAGAATCACGCAGTGAAAGGAAGAAAGAAAGAAAGAAAGAATGAATGAATGAATGAATCACACAGTGAAAGAAAGAAAGGAAGAACGAAAGAAAGAAAGAAAAACGCAATGAAAGAAAGAAAGAAAGAAATAACGAAAGTAAGAAAGAAAGAAAGACAGAAAGAAAGAATCACGCAGTGAAAGAAAGAAAGAATTACGCAGTGTAAGAAAGAAAGAAAGAAAGAAAGAAAGAAAGAAAGAAAGAAAGAATCATGCAATGAAAGAAAGAAAGAAAAAATCACGTAGTGAAAGAAAGAAAGATAGAATTACGCAGTGTAACAAAGGGAGAAAGAAAGAAAGAAAGAAAGAAAGAAAGAAAGAAAGAAAGAATTACGCGGTGTAAGAAAGAAAGAAAGGAAGAATCCCGGAGTGAAAGAAAGGAAGAAATAAAGAAAGAATCACGTAGTGAAAGAAAGAAATAAGAATTACGCAGTGTAAGAAAGAAAGAAAGAAGAAGAAAAAAAAAGAAAGAATCACGCAGTAAAAGAAAGGAAGAGAGAATATCAAGGAAAAAATGAAGTGAAAAAGATATTTCCTGTAAAAGAAACATACAGAAAGAAATAAAGAATCACGTAGTAAAAGAAAGAAAGAAAGAAAGAAAGAAAAAAAGAAAGAATGAATGAATGAATGGTAATCAAGGAAAAAAGGAAGGTGAAAAGAATTTCCTGTAAAAGAAACATAAAGAAAGAAAGAAAAAAAACAGGCAGTAAAAGAATGAAAGAAAGTTTATCAAGGAAAAAAAAAAGTTAAAAAGGATTTCCTGGAAATGAAACATAATGAAAGAAAGAAAGAATCACACTGTAAAAGAAAGAACCAAAGAAAAAAAAATTGAAAAAGAATAAATTTTTGAAGTAAAAAGAAAGAATGATGAAAGAAAGGAACGTCGAAGTAAAGAAAAAATGATGGCTAAAACGTCACATAAAAGAAAAAAAAGGAAGAGAATAAAAAAGTAAAAAATAAAGTGAATAAAAGAAGAAAAATAAAATATGAGAAGAAAAAATGAAAAGGAATAAAGTTGAGAAATACGTTGAAAAGAAAAGCGTAAGAATGTAGAGAATTTATAATTAGTAACAAGATCGTTTTTATGTACTTTGACTTTTACAAGAGAGAAGAGAAATTGGTCACAGAAAGAAAGAATTCTCTCGATTCAAAAATCAAGGGTCAGTATTCAATGGGGCTTATTTTCCTGTCATCTTTGAACCGCATAGAAATCGTTGCGTCTTTGGTTGAAAATGAAGTGACATAGATTAGTAGAAATTGTCTTGTTTCAAACAGACTCTTCATACATAAATTTTTATTTAGTTTGGCACAAGGACACAATAAAAGAGCGTTTAGCGAAGCTCAGAAATTCGCGAAATTAGTTTTCTCGGTTTTTTTTTTTTTTTTTGGCTTATTCTACAGACTGCGACAGTGTTAATCAAAATAACCTATCTAGAGAATTCTATCAATCTATCAATCGACTGATCTATATGTTTGTATGTAGCCTTCTACTTAAATTATTCTATTTCATTGTTTCGATATTTATGATACATATCTAATTATCTATTTATATCTTTATATATATATTTAATTATATACATACATATGTGTGTGTTAATTATTATTTATATATCTGATGGACTCTCCCGTCGAGTTCGGCGTATGAGGTTACGACAACCACGAACTAATTATCTGCATGCCTTTGATGGGTATGTCTTTTGAGACCGGCTCGAGAATTGCACAAAAAGACCACAAACAGAACAGGAGAACACTGTTAGCTGTCTTATTTTGCTTTCGTGTTTCATGTAGTCAACTGATGCTTACTTCTTAATGGTGCATTATTCCTGAATGGCAGATAGAAAGATACTTTGATCTCTTCATAGCTACCTCTTCAAAGTTCTTGAATCTGATGTTGACACAAGAAAGGTTGCTTTTCAGTTTATTTTTATACCTCAGCCAAAGTCCATAAACATTTCTATGACCACTATGATCATTGTAAAAAAAGAACTTTTGATATGCGATCATCCTTGACACATGTTCAGCCCAACGTAATTGTGATTGCATTAAGAAGGTCTCGATGGTACTAAACTTGCATTTCTCAAAAAGGTCAACATTTGACACTCGATCATCAAACGTTAGACCACAGATTGTATGGAGACAGCCTTTATTGGTGTGCCATCTATAAGAGCCCTTATTGCTATTGGTCTGTGCTACATCAGTTACTTCCATAGAGTTTGTTTGCCCTTTAGGGCTTCGGCCAGCCATTGTTGTTGTGAATATTGTGGAAATAATTAAATGTAGTTGTCAGAAAACCAACACAATGATTTGTTTCAAGTGATGAAGGCTTGTGTCGGACCATCCACATTTTTTGGGTCTGTCGATAAAAAAGTAACAAAGTATTGCCACGGAAACTCCGAACAACAGCCCTCATGTGTTACTGTCGCAGATTTTAACCTCTCTGGATCACAGTCAATACCAGCCAGTACATGCCTCTTGGCAGACACATATAATATAATGACCAGGTTAAGCTGTCATGAGTTTTCCTTCCTATCTGAATTTTTTGTTTTTATTTTATCGTGAAACCAACATTAAAAGGATTGCGAACCAAAGCTCAGAGAGACTCCTTACACCCTCATCAAGGGCAGCTAGCCCGTGACAGATTTCAACCGAGTAATTTACATAGCTCGGAGGAATATAGCTCGGCGGGATTAGACGTTTTGACCCCAATTTCGGAGTGTTAACTATTTGCCCATAGCTGGAACACTAACAGGTGCTACCACCCTGGGTCAGGGTGCATCTGGGAACACCAGCAATTAAGAGGTGTTTCTACGTTCCTTAAACCCCCTGATCAGGGACCTTGCCGTTGGATGTAGGTTATCTTCGTACCCAGGACATATATATATATATATATATATATATATATATATATATATATATATATATATATATATATATATATATATATCGGAATTTAACGAATTGATAGAATATGCATATATATGCGTGTGTGTGTCTGTCTGAGCGTGTGTGTATTCTATAAATTCATTAAATTCCGTTAGAAATTCATATAAGTTTAGTAAACTAAATTATTCTATTAATACAACATTATATATATATATATATATATATATATATATATATATATATATATATATATATATATATATATTTACATACGCTCTATCTCTGTCATGAGTTTTCCTTCCTATCTGAATTTTTTTTATCTCTTCAATGTGTGTGACTATATATATATATATATATATATATATATATATATATATATATAGTCACACACATTGAATGTTCCGCTGTATCACAGCTCATCGGTAGTGGCTAGACGTCCTGTTGCCTCTAGCTAGGATCGAAACCCGGCTGAATTGGCGTCAGTCGGAGATTCTACCCATAAGCCTTTGGCGCACAGCAGGCATGAAGGTGAATTTAAGCGGATTTATTTTTAGATAAACACACAATGACTGAGAGAATACGATTTGATCAAGTGATACTGTTGATTGAAAAACAAAGGTTTTTATGACCATTAAAACAATTTATTTTCAATCAACACTATCACTTGATAAGACACCAGTAGTGTTTAAACAAAATTGCAATTTTTGTAATGATGTTATAACATATTTATGTTATAATTTTGAATAAATATAAATATATATATATATATATATATATATATATATATATATATATATATATATATATATATATATATTCAGATAGATAGATAGATAAACAGATAAATATGATCGATAGAGAGTGAGAAATGCTAAAATACATGCAATCAAGTTGATATGCAAATATTTAAGTAAATTGATCATCATGATTTTGTTTCACGAATTAATATTTAGGAGGGCATGTCACGTTTCTTGAAAGCTCAGTAATGGTAAACAAGCACTCTATGAGATAGATCGATCGACACACAGGCAAAATATATAAAAGCACACTGGGTTTTTAATTAGCAAATCATTAATTAAGACTCTGTTCGCTTCTGAAACCCTTTCTTTCTTTCTGTCGCCATTGACATTCTCTGCGCATGCTCGCAATGTAACATAACTTTTTACTTCATTATCATGTCGTTTTTGCTGGTCAGCTGTTTTACCTAAATAAAAAGATCATACAAAAATAGATATTTACGCTCTCAGACATAAAAAAAAAATCTTTATTTATCGTAGTTTTTTTCTTAATTAAAAGCGGGAACCGTTGACATTTTGTTCAGATATTCTTTCAACTTGTCTTTAATAAATATATCTGACCTCGACATTTCAATTTGTCTGGATATGTAATACATTTTAGAGGTAGGCATATCAGACTTCATCATGCTGCTCAGCTATTTATAATTATATAGGTTTACAGCCATATCACGTAGAAATACTGGTTACCATGGGATAACCGAAGTTAAGCAACGTCGCGACTGGCCAGTACCTAAATGGGGGACCGTCTGGGAATACCAAGTGCTGTAATCTTTGATTCGTTGGTGGTGCAATGGATAATGGCTCGGAATTTTTAATCAGAAAGCCGACTTCGAATTCCAGTTGGGTTCGTTATATTCACTTACACACAAATACCGCTAGGAAAGATATGAGTCCACCTCATCTCCCCCAAACTATGGGTTAATTAGTAAGATTTGCATCGCTAAACCATCATTATCTCAAAAAATTCTTACAATCTCAAAATATTTTCTGGATGCAAATAACCTCCAAAGTGTTTATAATACGTAGAAAACGAATCAACAAAACTATATATATATATATATATATATATATATATATATATATATATATATATATATATATATATTTGGTTGGATAGATGTGAGTTTGTGACCCTGGGTTTCACGCTTTTGCGATCGTCAGACAAAATATGTTAGTTCTATCTCTGATATTGAGCGCTTTCTAATAAGTACCGCGCATATAATATATAAATAATTATATATATATATATATATATATATATATATATATATATATTTATATTTATATACACATATTTATATATATATATATATATATATATATATATATATATATGAACGAATATAGTTTGAAGGTGTGCTATATTTATGGGATAAAGTGCTCAATATCAGAGATAGAGCGTATGTAAATATAAATATAAAAGTGAGCTTTGAAGTCAACACTCAGAGGCGACAGGATGTTTCATGCTAGACCGAAATCTAATAGTGTGGGGTCATGTTCACGAGGCGAAGGATGCCTTTCCGGAGATCCGTATGGCGGAAATAGGAACCCCGGAACTGAGAAAGCTAGAGAAATATTTTGCAGGGAGTGTCCCAGTAATCCTCCATCCTTCATTATACAAGACATTAAAATTAACGTACCCCTTGGACGATGGCGGTATTGTCCTGGGTAAGATGATAAACTACATCCGCGTCCTGGGTATGACGATAAAATACATCCGCGTCCTGGGTAAGACGATAAACTACGTCCAACAGCAAGGCTTTTGATAATACGTTTTTGAAAAAATAATGTTGCCGGCTATACGTTTTTTGAAAAAATAATATTACCAGCTATACGTTTTGGAAAAATAATATTACCAGCTATACATTTTTGAGGAGAAGATACTGCCTTAAGAGGGTATTGAATTCACACTCTTTGGTTCCTGTCACTGGATCTAACCAATGCCTTTATTTACCCTGCCATGTGTTCTTAAGGCAGTGGAGAACTTTCAGAGGAGAATTAACAGGAGATAACTGATAACTGACATTCATTAGACATGGCACGTGGAACTAGAACAGTCTACCCCAGTGAGCGAAATAAAGGGTTCAGTTCGACATTCCAACCACCTGAAGAAGGCCGGAGCGTACAACGGCCGAAACGTTGTCATAAATATGGCGACAAACAATTTTTATATTAAGCACATTTTTTGTAAAATTTACCTATATATCAATATGAATGATTCTAATAATATGTCTCTTTTTGATGAAAGATTATGTAATTTCTGAAATTGCAGTAAAAGCTTTTTGAATTGTAAAGTTTTATCATTGACTACGGGTTCAATATCATAGATTTCTTTCCCTATCATTTATCATGCTGGAACGAATGATAGACTTAAAAATGACCAAGACAGATTCGGGTGAAAAAAAAAATGTCTAATGTAAACATGCAGTACGACCCTCGCTGAAGCTTTCCACTGACTGGCCAATGATTACTCCCATAACATTTCAACTCTTCATCTCGTTGGTGTTTACCAAAAGCTGGGCAAGGGCCTGTTGCATGCTCACAAAGTAACAAGATGAAAGAGAAAAGTCACGTCGTGTGACGATAACACGAAATCTGTTTCCCATATTAGAAATTAGATATTTTATTCAGGAATTCGCCTGACAATACAGGTAGGTGACACTGAACACCCTCTCTTCTGTGGATTATCTTACCCCTGCCAACACTTCGCCCATTTACCCATCCCGACATGTGGCTAGCAATGCGAATGGATGGCATCGGAATCACACGGTGGACAATTACGACTCCCATCAAGGGTAGTCCAGAAGTGACTCCGATCCCAAGCATGATGTCAGTATTGACCAGCACCCGGATACACCATATTTCTGGTTTTGTTGTTACTTGATCACCAAAAACCACTCATCCACTCCTTTACTTTTCCGTTCACTTTCGGTCAAAGAGGATTCCGCTTACAAAACTAGACTTAAAAAAGACCATCTGCTGGATATTAAACACTTGAAATCAAGATAAAACTTCAGTAGCTGTCTATATTTCTGAGATGAGGTATTATGTATATTATTCAAATTATTCAGACTACTGTCCTCATCTTTGTAGCCATATTTATTACAACGTTTCGGCCGTTGTACGCTCCGGCCTTCTTCAGCTGGTTGGAATGTTGAACTGAACTCTTTATTTCGTTCACTGGAGTAGACTATTCTAGTTCCACGTGCCATGTTTAATGGGTGTTTAATCTCCTGTTAATTACCCTCTGCAAGTTCTCCACTGCCTTAACCGGGTATTGAACTCACACTCTTTGGGCCATGTAACTGGATCTAACTAACGCCTTTATCCACTGTGCCATGTGTCCTTGAGGACATCTGTTTTCTACGTGATTGTACATATTATCACACTAGTATCACACTAGCACGAAATAGTGAACCTATTTTCCTAACAATAGACTTAGCTTTTAATTCAATATAATCATATAACTTCATGTCAGTAGAAAACCTAAAACCAAGAAGGAGCAGTGCGTTGCCATCCTGAAGGTGGAAGGCAAGAAAGTAGAAGCTGTAGAGAGGCAATGATCGCCCACGTCTTAAAGAGATACTACATGTAAAAGAAGAGGTTGAGTGAAAAAATGGAAGTTCCGAGATAACATGGTTGATTTTAATCAGTCCCTTGGAATCTTCTTTGTAAATTATGAATTTTTTCTTTACTTTCCAGTGTTTGAGTGTCGAATTTTCCATCAGGCTAGAAATTTATTGGTTGTCATAAGCTGTGAGATTCCCGTTTCCTAAACGGATCTTCGATCGCACATGACCTGCGAAAATAAGAAGCATATCCCGTGAATACGAAGACCCAAGTAGATATCGATTTACCAGTTACATCAAGGCAGGTTTTAATAGCGATGATACAGTCGATTGGATGCTATGAGAAAATTCTAGCTCTCAGTTTCAGAAAAAAAACTAATTATGGCTGGTTAAAGTGGAATATAGCAAAATCAAACACGATCCGGTTTGCGGCGGTGGTTGATTCGTACATTTTCAGGAACCAGATAAATGCCACCAAAACCAAAACGTATTGATTTTTGCTAGTTTTAGCAAATACAGCTTCATTTGCTGTGAAAAGTTCTATTTTTCATGCCGCGGGTGGTAAAAAGTAAAAAAAAAATATAGAAAAAAAATTACTGGTAAAAGTGCAACGTTCGATAAATTCCTAAACTAATAGACGAGAGATGGAAAGATTTATTTACAACAAATTTCAGCTCACTTAAATCAAAATTGTATCTTTTATATTAAAATTCAGGACTTGAAAAATACAGGACTCGATAGCCAATCAAGATTGGTATTTCTTTTTAGATTGTTATGATGAATGAAAGTATTGACTGTTTTTATTCGTTTTCAACGGTTTATAAAATACGAGTCAAAGTTTTTGTACTAGGAAATAAAGTGTGTAAATGTTCAGCAACAGTAAAACATAAGCGCTGAGCGGCAAAAAATATAGCTTACGTAAGAATAAATAATTTGATTGATAGATAAATAGGTGAACAGGCTGAGATAGATAGATAGATAGATAGATGAACAGGCTTAGATAGATAGATAGATAGATAGATAGATAGATAGATAGATAGATAGATAGATAGATGAACAGGCTTAGTGTTGAAACTTGACTAATGCATGGAATAATAATGCAACACAAAATATACTTAGAACAAAATGTATTGAAACAAGAAAGTGTACACAATATTTACATATAGTCTTTTGTATATTCCTGGTAAGACCGTTCCTGGAGAATGTGTTGACTGAGTCGCAGTCGAGCAGAGTCTCTGGTTGAATCTCTTGATTCCTCCCTCTCTTCCCGGTACCAACCATATTTATATGGCCGGTACTCCACTATGCAAATTAGGTGGATCCTACCACAACACTTAGATAGATAGATAGATAGATAGATAGATAGATAGATAGATAGATAGATAGATGAACAGGCTTAGAAAGAAAGAAAGAAAGAAAGAAAGAAAGAAAGAAACATGGTATGATGATTGCCATATATTACTGAAATGAGAACCGCCCCTCACCCCTTGTTTTCTACGACTTATGAACACTTTGTAGGTTATTTAAAGCCAGAAAGTATGTTTACATTGTAAAAGATAATAATGATTTAGTGATACTAGTCTTCGTAATTAACCCATAGTTGGGGTGTGAAGAGGCTCATTCATGCCTTTCCAAAGAGTATATGCGCTTAAGTGAAGATAACAAACCCAACGAGAATCGGAAGACATTATCAATTACACCAGCCATACATCCAAACTTACAGCATCTGGTGTTCCCAAGTAGTTACTCATATAGGTACTGGTGAACATCCGCGTTGCTTAACTTCGGTGATCTTCCGGGAACCAGTATTTCAATGTGAGGAGACCGTAAACGATGACGACTGAGGTTTGATATGAGTGGAACGGGGTGGGGAATAAGTGGGGATTATGAGTATCGATAACGATTGACTCTTGACTTGTAGAGTTTAAGACTATAGTGTTCGGGAAAGCGTCTCCGTATATATGTATATGTTAGGGAAAAGCATCCCCTCCACTTTTATTCAGATTAGAGACTCTACAAAATAACTAATCAAACGTCAGAGATACAGTGATCCTGAAGTTAAATTTTCAGTAGAGTATTCAGTAATTAGTGCACTTTCAATACATTTTTGTCTTATACACCATTTTGTTTCTTCCAATTAAAACTACACTTTGACCAGGTTATAAATATATACACCGATCGACAATCAATTAAAAATGTAAATTTAAATCTAAGCATTCCTATATCTTTGACGTTTTTGATATAAAATTGTGAGCCGCGTTTGTTGTATTGCATCTTTCTGCGTCAAAGGCTGAATTCATTATTAATCTGACGATGTCCCTTCTAGTGACGAAACGTGAGCTTAGAATTTTTTTCATTTTGTCATTCAATTACACAGTATTATATAATGATTTGTATAGATTTATGTATCATATGTTCCATAGATAGGTAGATAGATCGGAACAGACTGAGATAGATAGATAGATAGATAGATAGATAGATAGATAGATAGATAGAAAGAAAGAAAGAAAAAAAGAAAGAAAAAAAAAAAGAAGAAAAGACAAATAAAAAAAAAAAGAAAGAAAAAAAAACAATAAAAAGAATTAATGGCTTTTTAAAGAATTTAAGAGGAAAGAAAAAGTTGGTTTTAAACAGAATAATTGAAAATTTAGAAAAGAAAGAAAAGAAAGAAATCTTTAATAAAAAGAAAGAACCTGTAAGAAAGAAAGAAACCTGCATCCTCTTTATAAAGGTTTAAAAAAAGAACGAAAAAAAAAGAAAGAAAGAAAAAAGAAAGGCTTCAAAGTCCTGAAAGAAATGAAATTTTCTTCAAAATAATAAAAGAAAGAAAGAAAGAAAAAAGAAAGAAAACGAAATTACTACTAAATAGCGTGTTCGATCTCCACTGGGTGCTACATATTTTCGGCCTTGTGCCACATGTAAGTTTCGCTTAGTAAAACTGCATTTGAATATATGTGAACAGATTAGAACAGTTAGACAGAGAGTAAGAAGAAATAGTGGATAATTTAATTATTCTATCTGTCTACTTACCACGACCATTGTCGAAAATCGTTGAAGGAAATTCAGTGAAACAGACGTAGAAATACAAAAAGTGAAAAGCTCATAAAAATAATTGTTCTTTGACATTGTAAAAATGCACGACTAAAACACGAGTCAAAGATTTTTTTCCTATGAAATAAAGTGTTTAAATGCTCATCAATAGTAAAACATAAGAGTGGCAAAAAACGTAGAAAATAATAAAAAAAAGTAAAATAAATAATTTTATAAAAAAATAAATAAATAAATAAAATAAATAAAAAATAAATAATTTGATAGATAGATAGATAGATAGATAGATATAGATAGATAGATAGATAGATAGATAAAAAATAATTTGATAGATAAAAAAAATAATTTGATAGTAAAAATAAATGATTTGATAGATAGATAGATAGATAGATAGATAGATAGATAGATAGATATGAACAGAATAAGATAGATAGATAGATAGATAGATAGATAGATAGATAGATAGATAAAAAAAATAATTTGATAGATATAAAAAACTAATTTGATAGTAAAAATAAATGATTTGATAGATAGATAGATAGATAGATATGAACAGAATGAGATAGATAGATAGATAGATAGATAGATAGATAGATAGATAGATAGATAGATAGATAAAAAAAATAATTTGATAGATAAAAAAATAATTTGATAGTAAAAATAAATAATTTGATAGATAGATAGATAGATAGATAGATAGATAGATAGATGATCAAGCTTAGATAGATAGATAATGAGACTGAACTAGATAGAGAGATAGACAGACATTAAAAAGCGTGACAACCCCCCACCCCCTGTACGAGTTAAACTCTGTTCTTCTTAATGCAGCATAACCATTTTCAATGCAGTCAGATTATCCTTCAGATTATCTTTAAATCTCTTTCTCGGTTTGTTTTGTGAACGCTTTCCTTTCTTCAGTTCCCAGTAGAAAACTTGTTCATGAAGTTGTAGAAAAGTTTATTTCATTTAAAAATACAATGTGCAAAAGGCCGAAGGGTGAGTGAGGAAATGTTGATCGGCACTGACATTTCTACACGACCCATTCAAGATGGGGCCAATAGTCCGAATAATGTAAATAGTGTACATAATACCTCATCTCAGAAATATAGACAGACCATTCATTCTTACATGAAACAAAAATATTGATAATACATGAATTGTCATTTTCTGATTTTTCTCCCTTTTTTAACAAAAATATATAAAAAAATATGACGTGAAATGAGGGGGAGGGGTGAAACCAATAAGGAAAATAAAGAATGAGAAAACAGTCAGACTAAAAATATAAAGTTGTAGAAAAGATAGATAGGTAGATAGATAGGAAGGAACAGACTGAGATAGATAGATAGATAGATAGATAGATAGATAGATAGATAGATAGATAGATAGATAGATAGTTGAACAAGCTTAGATAGATAGATAGATAGATAGATAAGCTAGATAGATAGATAGATAGATAGATAGATAAGCTTAGATAGATAGATAGATAGATAGATAGATTATCTTTAAACCTTATAAATAATAATAATAGATAGATAGATAGATAGATAGATAGATAGATAGATAGATAGATAGATTTTCTTCCTTCTAAGATTGCATAACAATCCTTTAAAATTCTACCCCAAGACGGTTTTTTTTTTTTTTACTGGTAGTACACTTGCAGACAAGTCATAAATTTAATTGAAAGGATTCTACCGGACACACGCTTCGTCAGCATTCGGAGATATTTTCCAAGAGAATCCGACAGCTGAATACACATGTCAAAAATCGAGGCTGGAGAAAATTTGGTCTTCCCGCAGACAGAAATTTCAACGAAATCACTTTCCTCTTTGGCTTTCTTCCTCTATTTGAAGGGAATATTGATTGTCATTCTTAGATCGATTAGCAGTTCCAATATATGATCTGACCATTGGGGATTTGACCAGATTTTATAATTAAAACTTAGTCCACTGCCTTTTATAGCAAGGGAATACAATTGGACGGGTTAATTTGGCCGAAAGATAAATTTTGTTTCAATGTTGGATAAAATGCATTTAATTTCATATCTACTTTATATATTATTATGTATATCGTGACGTCGTTTCGCAAACGAAGATTTGGAATTGATCGAAATAATTAGATATATCGAAGTATGCATTTATAGATACTTATGGTGTCCAAAGTTTTTGTTCATATAAAATAATAATAACTGGTTGATCGTTTTCCGAATATGATTGTCTGCTAGCGCGATTTGTTAATTCCTGTTTTAGACGCACGCTCAACACGCACAGAACACACCTAATGCCACTATATACTGAGCAGACCTTAGTTATAGTTTCAGGGAGAGAGCACATAATCATGCCTGATCAACAGTGTGAACAAGGACGGTACGCTGTAAACCTCGGTTACGATGTCGCAAACCACCCAACCCCGCCAAAAAAATAATAGTTAGAATGAACTACAACAACCAACCCCAAAATTGAACAAATAGCTTTAATTAAATTCTCAAACCAAAACTGTTAAATACGTGGTATAAACAAATTTTTACTACGTTAATAAATAAATAAATAAATAAAATAAGAAACAAAAAAATAAAAACGAGCAATATAATTTGACCCAAATAAATAAACAAAGCGACTTCCGGTAAAAAATAACCGCCATAATAGAATACCCACAATGCACCACTAACCCGTATATATATAAATAGCCGAGAAAAATAACAGCATATGTGGCCTGACGATTGCATATAGCATGAAATAGACTATCGCCTCTAAGTGTTGACTTCTATGTTCACTTTTATATTTACACACGCTCTATCTCTGATATTGAGCACTTTATCCCATAAATATAGCACACCTTAAGACTATATTTCTTTATATATATATATATATATATATATATATATATATACACACAGTGTGAACCAAAAGTAGGTGGACAGTAAATGATAAAATTTATTTTGAGATTACATACTAATATAATTAAATTTTGATAAACAATTATTACAATATGCAATTTTATCAACACAGGTTCTCATACTTCTGTCCATCACGATTTACACAGTTTTTAAGTCTCTCTCTATTATTCGACAAACAGATATATTCGATTGCATTGGGCACATGACCAGTTTGGCGCCTCATGACAATTCGGGGATCCCATCTGAACCCCTCTCTTCAGTTCTGCATATTTTTGTGATGCTTCATGGAAGGTCTTGACGCCGTCAGCAATGCCAGCTCTCCCCAAAAAGCCGGTCTTCAGCTAGACTCTCCCAGTTATCCAGACCAATATTGCACTTTTATAGTGACACACACACACACACATATAGATAGATAGATAGATAGATAGATAGATAGATAGATAGATAGATAGATAGAAGGGTATATGGGTATTGGCTTTGTTCAAACTGTTGATCAGATCATATTAGGCGCTCTATCAGAGAAACTGTAAATAAAGTGAAAAAAATGAATTCAGTAAATATACAAAAATAGAAGGTGGTATAAGGCAAGGATGTGTCTTCTCACCGGACTTATTCAATCTATAAAGTGAGGTGATTCTGAGAGGATTAAAATCTTACCAGGATTCTTTATTGGTGGTCACAATCTTAATAATGTAAGATATGCAAATGACACATAGTTGATAGCAGAAACAGAAAGAAAACTGCAAGAATTCCTACAGAAGGCAGTGAAGGCAGAATGCACGGTTGTTTGCAAAATGAACAGACCAGATTCACCGGATTTATTCAACCTATACAATGATGCGATTCTATGAGAATTAGAAACCCTACCAGGATTCATTGTTGTGGGCAAAACCTGTTGACAAACTACGTCACAAAGAATTGTTGGAACTGGTAGGTAACCTTGCCATTTGTAAAAGATATTAGAATAATTTAGAACATATACTGGCATCAAACCGCCTGTATACAGAGAGAAAATGACTTCAAAATGGCGTATGGCAAGGATGTGTCTTCTCACCTGACTTATTCAATCTATACAGTGATGCGATTCTAAGAGAATTAAAAGTCCTACTCGGATTCATTGTTGGCGGCTATAATAGAAAAATCTCAGTAGATTTATTTTCATAGCACTGCCTATGAAGCCATGTGCAAACGAATTTGAAGTCTATCAGATATTTAGCCTAATGAGTCATATAACATAACTTATCACCCGAATTCTGATGAATAGAGCTGAGAAGAATCAGACCAGAAATATGACGAAAACAGTACGGATTCGTTAAAGACACTGAAATAAGGAAGGCGATATTTATTCTCAAAAGCGTACAAGTAAGAGTATTAGAGATGCAGAAAGACGTTTGTATCTGTTTGATACAAAAGTGTTTGACAAGGTACATCTTAAAGAACTGCTTAGTAACATCGAAATATTTGAGAAGGATATTAGAATAATCCAGAACCTATACTGGCAGAAACCTGCCTGTATACAAATAGAAAATGAATTCAATAAATATATGAAAATAGAAATGGATGCAAGGCAAGGCTGCATCTTCTTACAGGACTTCTACAATGAGGCGATTCTGATAGAATTAGAAATCCTTCGTTATTGGCGGCTATAATCTTAACAACCTAAAATATGCAGATGACACAGTGATGATAGCAGACACAGAAAGCAAGCTACAAAACCTCTTGCAGAAAGTAGTGAAGAAGGTAGATTAAATGTCAGCTGCAAGAAGACGGAATGCATGCTTGTTAGCAAAAGGATGAGCCCAAAATGCAGGTTACAAAGATACCAAAATCAAAAAAGTACAATTCTTTAAATAGGAAGTGTTTAACGGAATATGGAAATTGCTGCAATAAAATCCGAACGCACATTCTTATAGAGAAAGATGCCTTTCAAAAGCTAAGTAAAATATTAAGAAACAGAAATATCGCGTTAGAAACAAAGAAAAGAGAATCTTTATGACAACCTCGTTTTGCTTTTCATAAATGATCTGCCTAAGTTTATATTTCGAGCATTTGTGAATATCTATGCTGATGATACAACGGTCTAAAGGGGTAGCTCCAAAACTCTAGCTGACCATCTCCTTTAATCTAACTTTAACAGCTTAGTGGGGTAGAATGGCTGGTGACATTCATTGCCTCAAAAGATAATCTAGTGATGGTTCATCATCTCCAAGCGACAAAAGAATTATCTCCGATCGTGATGAATTCGTCTCCTGAGAAAGGCCCCGTACATTAAGCGCCTGTTAAAACTTAAACTCAACCCAGACACAAAATGGATGTCATTCATACGATCCATCGCTAATAATACTGGGAAAATGGTCGGTTCTCTCTACTACATCAGTAAATACGTGACTCTCACCTTTACAAAATCCAGATCAGACCGAGTATTGAGTATTGCTTCCATATATGGGGAGGAGCGGCCCCAGTTTTCATTTTTCAACTCTTAATAGAGCCCCAAAGCATCTCTGCTCTTACGTAAGAGTTCAGTAATCCCTTCTTTGTTTCTATTGCTCCAAGTCTCTTCTTCATCTGTGAGAAGATTGTACAGCATTCACTGTCATATAGGAGGACTGGTATTACCTAAGAGGATCCACGGATGATGCTATGTCGAAGGGCAGAGTCTCGTTTCGGGAAACGGCTACCTGACACCGTTTTATACTGGTTCTACAGTGAACTTTTCGCCGAGCCTACGGGCTCGGATATCCCACATTAAATCCGGCCTTGTGCCACATCTGACCGCTAAGGGCGGTTGGTAGATATCCTGCAGTTGGAGATTCGTCTCCAGCAGTGCTGGTCAAACTCTCTGCTTCCGAGCAGACAGGATCCCCAGACGAGGCTATGTCGAAGGGCAGAGTCTTGTTTCGGGAAACAGCTACCTGACCCCGTTTTATACGGGGTCTACGGTGAACTTTTGGCCGAGTCTATGTGCTCGAATACCTCACATTAAATTCGGCCTTGTGCCATATCTGACCGCGTGGGCGTTTGGTAGATATCCTGCAATTCGAGATTTATTGTGAAATTCACTTGACTAACGTCTAGCAATTGACTACTTCTTCTACGCGCCGCTGGCGAATCTTATACGTGTTGTTCTTGTCCTAAGTATTATCGTTCATTACCAACCATCGTGTGATTATTCTATTCAGTAACTTTCCCTAGTTTACAATACTTATGCGAAAATTGTTTTACAGGCAAGCATTGTAGAGAAAATTCCTTTTATGAACAGGAAAGTGCATTCTTTTCTGGTCATAGCAATGCCACCGAACTGAATTGCTTTTCGTCGACATAAGAAGGAAAAATAAGTTCTTCATATTACAAGAGAGCAAAAACGAATCATCTAAAGAGTGAAAATCCTTTACAAACCAATATTTCTCTGCTTATCTATCCTTACGTTTAATTCACGAGCAGACATGCTGTGGCATCGATCACCGATTCTACCCCAATTGCCTTTACAGCGAAAGGTGTATTGATTTCTTTACCCTTTATATCCAGGACATTTCTTTATTTGCTGTAATCGCTCGCTGACATCTTGTTAAATTCCGTTTTCGTTATTTTTGTTGTTGTTAAACGTACTTTTCAGTTTTTCAATAGGACATGGCACGGAATGGTTCTGCCAGTCGCAGATTCCAGCTAGGTTTCTTGTTTTGTTTCGTGTGACACAGTCAGCAAGTTTTGATTCTATTTTATAGATTGGATACCAAGGATTAGAACAAAATATGCTAAGATTTCGTGCAATAAGTTTTACAAACTTTTTCATTAGAAACACAGTCGGTGCTTCTTGGAGACAAAGCCGGCGACCCCATCACACTTGACCACAGAGAAATTAAAAAAAAATACTATTCTCTTCGAGCGTGGCGAACATAAAAGCATCTTCTTTTATTTGCCGCATCCACAGCAGCTTCTCCATCGTAACTCGAAACAATTCCTTTCTTCTTAATATCCGCCTACACCCAGCCGCTGCTTTCTATTTACACAAACCTTTTAAGGAGTTTAGGGATATATTTCCCTCTGTCCTTTTTGCTTTGAATATGTCCTGTAGCAGAGTTACTTCTTTTGCCATATTTTCTAGGAGAATATGACTCTCCACAATTTCCTTCCTTTCGTATCTCTAAGTAAATATATAAAATTATATACAAGATATCTGTAATTGAAGCCATAAAATGACGTCCAAACCACGTAAAAAAATCGTCGAAAACAATCGCAGTTATAAAAACTTAAGAATCCAAAATTTCAAGATTGCAGGTCAAGATCTGGACGAGAATGTGTTTAATTTGCTCACGGAATCGTCCTGATTCCAAAATGGTATGATATGTTGGTCTACGGCCTCTAGGAGTAAAGTTGAAAAAGAGTGACACACTGACATTCGCATTTATTTATATAGATATAATAGCAGGATTCGCCCGCTCGCTATCACTTCGCAAAGTAAGATACATTCACTACTTGAAATCTTTGAAACAAATATTTTAAATGAACATTTCATCCATAAATTGGCTTGTTATAGTTAAGGAAAATTTTACAAATAGATGCCAAGTAAAATTTTACTTGTCTGCGCTTTATAACATGTTATTCCTAAACAGAACTATTTTTTATATGAAAATCCAAACAATACTCGAATAAAAAAACAGTAATGGAAGACAGTTAATTAATGAAATAAACTTTTAAAAATCAATATGCAAATTAGATAAACCTGAAAAGTGATATTGCCTAGACGTAGGGAATATATAATAAAGATATTGAGCTTTCAGTCCAGTTTGTAACACATTTCTTTATCATCTCTCTGTCTTTGGGAAAAGTGCGCTCAGGGGTGGCTCTATCAAAGCTCGGGCTCTCCACATTAAACCGTCCTCGTGTCACAACCTGATCTCGTGGTGGGGTTGAGTAAATACAAATTACTCTCCAGTAGTTTGTAACACGTTTATGTATCATCTCTCACTTTCGTCTCTGTCTTTGGTCAGAGTTCGCTCAGGAGTGGACAGGAGGACAGAGTCATAACTGAAGAAAATTATACTGAGAGGTGCCCATCCCTGTAGAACAGCTGCCCGAGGCCGGGTATACGCGTTCGAGCTCCCCACATTAAACAGACCTTGTGTCTTCTATAGTTTATTATTTTATATAATAAAATGCGCACTGCAATTTTGGATACAAATTGAAAATAAGAGTTACTCTTTTTGAACCATGAAAGCAACGATAATGGCTAGTATAATGTATTAATATATATTTTTAAGATCACATAAACTGGCAACCCTGAATCTGAGCTCAATGAGAATCGTTCCCTTCACCTAACTTTTTTAGGGGTTTTGAATGAGCTATGACTCAATGAAATCGGACCAGTGGGAGCGGAGGAGTTGCTTGGACACATACAATGTACTTTATATATAAGATAGATGTATAATGTAAAATTCACCCCCTCTATCTTGATTGGATATCGAGTCATGTATTTGG